GGCCCGGGGCCCGGCCGCGCTGCCTGCTCACCCCTTGTCTCCTCCTCTCCTGCTCAGCCCCGCGGCGGGGCACGCGGTCCTCCCGCCTCACCGCACTCCTTTTCTGCTGAGAAAAACCGCAGCCTGGGTTTGCGCTTGTCATCTCGGCGTCCTGTCAGTCCTGTCAGTACTCCTAGAGGTCAGCCAGCGCAAACCGGGGATTCCTGTCCCGGCGTTTCTGACGGATCGATACAAATAAAACCTGGTGTCGATCTTTGCAGGCTGGAAAGCAGCAGTACAGAGGCCAAGAAAAATTGTTAGTGTTGCGTTCAAGTTCCTCTGTAACCGTACAACATTCTACATCCAGAAAAAGCACTACGAAGCATGAAAGCAGAGTGAAGGAGTGAGTGAAGACTATATTCGGGGATCAAAAGATGCTGCCTCGGTTTCTATCACTTCCAGACACTGGAAAATTAGCTCCGCACCTTTGTCGCTTCCCATCTTGGTTTTGTCTGTAGAGAGTTGACAAGGACCAGCTCCCACATGGCATAAAGAGATTACCTCAATCAAAACAAGCAATACTGCTGCAGAGTATCCTTCTTATTTCCCAACCGGCTTTTAATTAATGCAGTACACACATGCACATACATACACAAACCTGGAATAAGGATTTGTCTTTTTTTTTTTTAAACATTGATATTTTATATAAATCTTTAATTCCAGAGAAACTGGCAGCACTTCACAAACCACAAGCTGAATCTTGTCAAGTGGTGAGAACTCTAATCTTGATCCAGAAAAACAGTTATGCACATGCCCAACTCCAAGCATATGGAAGTCTTACTGATTTGTAGGCTTGAAATCTCCTATCCTTCCAGCAAAGGGAGCTGCAAAGAACACACTTTGCTACAAAAGAAGCCAGGAAGGATTGACGCTGGTTAAATACTCTGAATGAAAGATACCAGAAAGTCCAGAGAGTTAAAATACCTGTTTTTTTCAGGTATCATTTGAAAGACTCCTGTTACACTTTGTGTGCAACTCGGCTGTCCTAGCAGGGCTGGACTGTGTGTTGACTCAGACTGTATGGCCTGCAAAGTGAAGACAAAGTGTGAATATGACTTGTCTGTCAATGCAACAGGAAGGGGGAAGACCTTTGGGAGATAAGGGAAGATTTAAGTATATTTATAGCTAATTTACCCTTAAACAGCAGAAAATTATGACTATACCTATTAGAAGTGGAAGGCCTGGAAGACCCTTTCTGTGGGAACACCAGAGACAAAACTAAACAAATCAGACTTTGTCAGGCATTACATGATGCAATGCATGAAACAACAGAGGAATGAATTTGGTGACTCAGCCCTCTTTCCCTCATACGATAGGATTTTGGCCTGGAACACCTCACTCCAGCAGATAGGTGGGTAGGCTTAGCAAGTTCAAACTGCACCTTTTGACATACCTTACCAGAACTGCATCTATCACTACCTCTGGTCTTCGTCCTCCCTGTCTTCTCATCTGCCTTCCCTCTCCTCTGCCCCTCCATTAACTGATGCCCCATTTTTTCTGGCAGCTGTGCAGCGGAGAGGTGGGTATGTACTGGCTGGAGGGACGCCTCGCCTGTGCTAGCTGCCAAGCATGGAAGGCATGAGAACCTCTCAAGCACCCAGTGATCGAAACATGGTTTCTCCTGACCATCTGGCAGGCCAAACAAATTGCTTAATTGGCCACGTGTGCCCTGCAAGCCATACATTGTTTAAGTCTGGTCTCGAACTTTCCCCAGTTCCTTCAGTCTGCCTTTTTGTTACAGGCTTCAAGAAGCGACACACAGCTGCACAGCCACCACTCCTTTAAATTCTGCTGCACTCCTCTGTATTTAGTAGGCATTGTGCAAGCTGTGACATTGCCTGAGAATTCATTTCTGTGATAAGACCTTGAGAATAGATCAGGGCTGCCTTGCTCTCTGGAATCCAGAGGCTGCTTCAGAAATGTACAGAGTTGTTCATCATGTCTGACTCATTCTTATTTTTCCCTTCATGGACTTGCCATGGTGCTTTGACATGAATCTCACATTGGTCACAAGATGACTCAGGAAATCCTGAGTCTCCCAAAGACCAAAATGAATGCACACAGGGGAAGACCTGACATCTCTGGGTAATAAAGGAAATCAATCCTGGTAAAGACCCTCAGGAGCACTGTATCATATTCTAGTAATTACGAGATGCTCTTAAGTTCCCTTGATCTATATTGCCTGTAAGCACCATTTTTTTCTACCTTTCTTCCTGCATGAACATCTTCAGCATCATGGGAACCTATCTCCATCTATCATACAGCTAGATTTCCTCTTCCAGGGATCTGAACTTTGGACAAACCTCTCTGTTATGAAGATAACACACTTCATAACTTTCTTTGGGTTTTTTCCCTCACTTTCATTTAAATATAACAATTTTTGTAAGAGTCCTCAGCTGAATCTCTCAGAAAAAAAAAAAAAAAGCAGAGTCCTCAATGTTTTCTTGGGTAGAACTGACAAGAAAAAGGGAGGCAGTTTAGACCAAAATTTTTTTTTCCATTAGCATTTGCTGCCAGTTCTGTATCCAACATATCAGCTAGGCTTGTCCCTGGTGAGATAAAAAGCCAGCAGCAAGGGGCAAAGGGAACTGAAGGAAAGGTAAGTTCAGAATGAGCCATTAAGAAGGAAAACATAGACTCATAGAATGGTTTGGGTTGGAAGGGACCTTAAAGATCATCCAGTCCCACCCCTCTGCCATGGGCAGGGACACCTTCCACTAGCTCAGGTTGCCCAAAGCCCTGTCCAACCTGGCCTTGAACCCTGCCAGGGAGGGGGCAGACACAGCTTCTCTGGGCAACCTGTGCCAGGGCCTCATCACCCTCACAGTGGGAAATTTCTTCCTTACATCTAAACTAAATCTACCCTCTTTCAGTTTAAAGCTATTATCTCTCATCCTATCACTCCATGCCCTTGTAAAAAGTTCCTCTCCATCTTTCCTGTAGGCCTCCGTTAGGCACTGGAAGGCCACTATAAGGTCTTCCCAGAGTCTCCTCCAGGCTGAATCCCAACTCAGCTTGTCCTCATAAGGGAGATGCTCCAGTCCCCCAATCATCATTGTGGCCTCCTCTGGACAAATGAATAAATAGGCTTTGATGAAAGCTAGAGTTGTTTGGGGCTTAAAGAAAGGATGTTCCAGACCACAGATCAATTTGAGTTTATATTAGTTCTTTTTCTTCCTGTAAATGCCTTTTCCAGGTTGGCTGTATTTCCAGCCTTACCCCTGAGTGAAGCTCCTGTATGTTCAACAATGTCTGTGCCTAGCAGAGGGTTAATTTGTTTCACTGAGAATGGTTTGTGATTTTGTTTTTTGACCTCATTTCTCTCATTTACAGTCTAACCCTTAGAAAGGGTGTTTCTGTTTATTTCTGATGCCATTTTCCTGAGAGAAATGGCAGGCACCAAAGAAGGAACTGCCATTTTATAAATAAGGAAGGCCCAGATCCTTTTTAACCCTGAACCCCAGCAGAAGGAAAAAGGAAATTATAAAGTTAATGAGATAGGAGGAAGTGTAAATTGTTTTTTGTGATGGATGATACAGGTTGATAATACCTGATCGCAGGATAGAACAGATACTTAAACTTTTTCACAAGTAGCAGCAGAACCTGAGACTAGAAAAGACAAATAATATCTGACACCCATAAAGAGATGGAGAAGTCAGGAACCTCCCCTGAAATTTTGAGCAAAGGCAGAAAGATTCAAGAGGATCCTGCTTTTCCAGGATACAATCCAAGTTGTCTTGCTCACTAAAGCCAGGTTTTCACATCAACTTCTGAGCTCAGAGCATCAAAGTCATTGCTTCAATAATGAAGTAACTTTCAAAGCATTTCAGAAAAAAACATATGGCAGTGCATAAAGTGAAATGGCTGGACAATGCAGCTTCAAGAAGCATGGCATGAAGTGGACATGGGATTGCTTAGTCCCTCAAATACCTCTTTACTTTTAAATGTTTTAACAGTTAAGGAATGTCATTTTAAAACTGAACAATACTAGAGCAGCTTTGGACAGACAGCGATACTGTTGCCCAGCCGTTCAGGGATAGGGGTCAAAGAGGTGTCCCTGCAGGCACTCAAATAATATGGCCATGAGTTTAACATTTTAAGAAAATAATAATAATTAAAAAAAAAAAAAGGTAGCTTGGCTTTACCCAGGATGGTCAGAGAATAGTTTTCAGTTACAATTCTTTTGAGTCCATCCCTGTGACTGTCAGCAACTGAGTCAAATAGGTCCCTTCTTTAGGCCGTTTTTGCTCAGCCACTGTAATCCTATATAGGAAACAGCAATAAGCTCTTGGTGAAGAGCATTCCTCCTTGTGGATTTGTAGTTCTGGCTATATTTATATATACTACTGAACAGTACATATTTCATAACAGTAAAAAGCTAAACAGTGTCTGCAAAACAAGGTTAAATGATGGGTTTGTTCCATATGAAAATTGTGGGAATGAATATATTAGGAGAAGGATGCCACAGGAAAGCAAAGCCATGTTAATCAAAGCCTTGTAGCGCTGCAGCCCGTAGAATCCACCGTACGAATGCATCAGAAACTAAACTCCTTGTGCGTAACTTTAAAATGCACAGTGAGAGAACATGCCTAGTGTTCTCCCTTATGGCTCACACAGCTTCTTAAAAACAGATAAAACACATCTATGAAAGCAATAAGGAACCACACAGTCATATCTGAGGCATGCCATTTCATAAAATATCATAACAAGCTAGAGGAAAAAAAAGGAAAACTTGATATAATTTTTTCCAAACCAGCTGGGTGAGGGAAGAGGTTGGTGCATGGAACAGTGTTCAAAACACACCACCGTACCTTCCCTGGACTTCCTAGGACTTGCACCCCTTCCTTGGGATCCACACAGGGTCATGAGCCTTACAGGGCTCAGCAAACTTCTCTTGCCATCACAGAAGCTTAAAAGGGAAGTACAGGAGCAGAGGTCAGATGCCAGGTTCAGTCCTGCTAAATACATTTCTGGCCTGAGCAGGAGGCAAGGAAATGGGCAGATCCCCCGGCCAGATACTCACAGTGCTGAGATGCAATCTTAATCACAGCTGAATATGCAGTTCCTTCATCCCCTTTCTTTTTATTTTGATAGGCATGAATTAGTTAACTTTGTCTA